AATTTTATTTGGAAGTCCGTAGTAGAATTAGGCTTGAAATGCCGAAAGTTGAATTTTTGGGAAGTTTGACCGAGGGGTTGACTTTTTGATATCGGGGTCGAAATCCGATTCTGAAATTTTTTATAAATCCATTATGTCATTTATGACTTGTGTGCAAAATTTGAGGTCAATCGGAATTGATTTGATATGTTTCGGCGCAAAATATAGAAGTTGGAAGATTTGAAAACTCATAATTCGATTCGATGCGCGATTCGTAATTTTGGCGTTGTTTGGCATGGTTTGAAACCTCAACTAAGTTCATATTATATTTTGAGACATGTTGGTATATTTGGTTAAGGTACTGAGGGCCTCGGGCGGATTTCGGAAGGTTAACGGAATGAATTTCGGACAAAAAGGAGCTGCTGGAATATTTCTGCTGCAGAAGCTGTTTTTGGACAGCAACCGGTGCAATCGCAGAGCTGACTTTGAAAGCTTATATCTCGAAATTTATAAGGAATCTGAACATTTTCAAAACATAAAAGTTGTAGCCCTTTGATTCTAGTTTTCAGAATGATAAACCATTTATCATTCAGACATTTATACAAAATGTTATGATCGATTGACTGAAGCTACTACTGCAGATTTTTGCTACAGCAGTGTGCATCGCCAGAAATTTCTGCTGTACAGGGCTGACTTTAGGAGCTTATATCTCGCAATCTATAAGGAGTTGGGCGATGAGCAAAACATGAAAGTTGTAGTACTTTGTATCTAGTTTGCAGAACTTTTAACCATTTGGCAGTTGGAGTTGAGTACAAGAAGTTATGATTGATATATTACAGGCTGTCGAGGAAGAGTTTGATGTTTTCAACATAAGCATGTATTGATCCAAAAGTCCATTTTTAGTTCTAGAGATCGAAATTCGATTTCGAGACTTTCGACATTTTGATAATGAATTATAGGAGTGATCTGGAAAGTTTGATCTAATTTCATCAAGTCACGATTGAGTTTTAAACGCGAAATATGAGTTAATTGTTTAACGAGCGAAATTTGTATCACATTGAGTAAATGAGCTCCGAATTGAGTTTCGATTAAACGAATGGGTTCGTAGTTTTATTTGTGACTCATAGGAATAAGAATCGTCGAATTCCGAGTTCGAATGATAGAGTTAGA